TGTTTACCACTTCTCTTTAATAAAGCCTGCAGATGGATCCACACGTCTCACGTCTCGTCAGCCCCGTTACAGGGGGATAGAAAATTTGTACCACAGAAAAACCATTAAGGCGTAATATGGAGAGTCCCATAAAACACATATACAAGTGTGTGTGTGTGTGTTATAGAAATGAATGCTTTTATTCAGCAAATATGTTTTAAATTGATCAAAAGTGACAGTTGAAAATAAATATTGAATGTTATATTTAATTTTCAAATAGTTATTTTTTAATTAAAACTTATTTATTGTAAGAAATTTTTTCATATGGTTTTCATGAATCCTGCCATTTTGAAAGGGTTTCTAGAAAAGTGCTGCTTCACGTATTTCGTTTTTTCCAGTGAAGAAACACTGATGTGAGTCCGTTCAGCTAATGAGTGTCACAATGCGTCAAAGAAACGAGGAGAAGACTTACACAAACTTGACTTTTAATAACACAAACCAAAAGAGAGGCATACTAACATCAGGAGCGCTGGAGTACAAACACAGGATGACGTTTAATAAGACTCAAGGAAACGAGGCAGACTACACATTTATACTAAACTTAACGAGGGACAGACAGGTGCGGGGAATCCACTAATAATGAGACAACGAGAACAGGAACAAAACCAAATATGGGCATAAGGAAACACGAGGGAGAACTAAACACACACAAAACAAGGAACAAAGTCTGACATCGATGTGTTTACCAGATGAACCTGCTTCAATTACTCACACCTTATTTATACTCACACCACAGAGATTTTAATATATCTTACAATATTACAATGACAGATTATTAATTACTAAGTCAAACACAACAGACAGTAACAAACTATTCACACACACAGTAAGAGCCAGTTTAATGAAGATGATCAGATGATGCTGAAGATACTTAGAGTTTCATACACTGAATTTTTTACCGTTTCAGTGTTTAATCTCAACAGCTCTGATTGATTGATTCTTATTTAAACTTTTCCAAAATATCAGTTTCTCTTGATAACACATTTAATGTTTGTATCTGATACCATTAAACACTGCTAATAAAAATTTATTTGAAACAAACAACACTGAGTGATTGGAGGAAAATGTCTGATGTGTTTGATCAACAGTGTCATAATTCATAATAATCTGTGTTCACTCCTGATCATTATATGAACATCAGAATAAAAGCAGCTGTTGATTGTGTCTCTTCAGCTCCGGTGATTCTGGATCCAAACACTGCAAATCCACATCTCGTCCTGTCTGATGATCTGACCAGTCTGAGATGGAGCGAGAACAAGCAACCAGTTCCTGATAATCCAGAGAGATTTGATGATTATTCCTGTGTTCTGGGTTCAGAGGGTTTTAACTCAGGAACACACTGCTGGGATGTGGAGGTTAAAGAGAGTCTATGCTGGAGTCTTGGAGTAACTACAGCATCAAACCAGAGGAAGAGATATTATTTCTTCATCACTGATGATGTCTGGTGTGTGCAGCATCATGAATCTCCATTTCGCTCACCAGTCACAAAATTTGGTTTCTGTGTTGAACAGAATCTTGATCGTGTGAGAGTTCGTCTGGACTGTGACAGAGGAACAGTGTCGTTCTCTGATCCTGTAACTAACACACATCTACACACATTCACAACCACCTTCACTGACACTGTCTTGCCATTCTTCTGGTGTTGGTCTGAACCTCTAAAGATCTTACCGTTCGATAGTCTGTAATCTGTAGATCTGGATCTTCCTGCTTTCATCATGTTTCCAATATTTAATCCATAACACACGAGTAAGAGTGCTGTTATTCTGAATATCAGTACGGCTGTGATTGGGCCGCAGCTGATCACATGACTGATATCCAGCACTACAGACACACTCACACTGCTGTTATACAACAGATCAGTAAACAATAAATAATACAATTAATTTCGTGAGATTAATCAAACTTTTAAATGATTGATTTTATAAGATCCACCATTGTCTGCTGAGGTGAAGTTAATATCAAGTCACTTCATTTCAGTCACAGTATATCCAGATATTTTCAGAGTTCAGTCACAGAAAACATGGAAACATCAGGGACTGTTAAAACTACGATCTCCATGCCTGGATTTCTTTTATGGTAATATATTTTGATTCATTACCTTATCCCTACATTTATTAATCAAGTGTTACGCTGCACAGAATTAAGACACATGGTGAAGGTTCAAATAAATCATGTTATTTCTCAAATCTGACTAATGAGAAACAATGATGTGTTGTGAATCCCGCACATTTTAGGAGTCACGACTTGTCCAGAAAAAAGGCTTTCTGGGGAGAGAGAAAAAGTGTTGAGGAAAGAAATGTTAGGTTTTTGTTTTGTTTTTTCAGTGTGAAACGTCTTGGGTATCATCAGACTTTCTGTTGTTGGTTCAAATGTTGTAAGCAGAAACACTGTGCTAAACCAAAAACCAGCATTTAAAGCTGTATCATTAAAGATCAAATCCAGTAAAGCGTACTTTCTTCACACGTTTGTGTATGTGCTGAATTTATTTTCAAAGTTAGCTCAGTTCAGGTCAGTTTTGGTTGAGAAAGTTCTTGTATACTAATTTAAATGTGAATATGAATGTAGATCAGTGTTATTTTAGCATCATAGTGATAGTGTTTTAATTAAAGGGGCCATATGATGCGATCTCAAGTTTTCCTTTCTCTTTGGAGTGTTACAAGCTCTTGGTGCATAAAGAAGATCTGTAAAGTTGCAAAGACTAAAGTCTCAAATCCAAAGAGATATTCTTTATAAAAGTTAAGAGTCAGCCACGCCTACCTAAAACGGCTCGTTCTAACACGCCCCCACATATCTACCTCACTATGTGGTAATATTAGCATAATGCCGCCCAAATGTGCACGCAAAGAAAGAAGGCGTGGTTTCAGGAACAGCAGTAGTGTTGATGCAGCCATGTCAGGGAGACGTGTGTTTCAGTGTTCTCTCTCTCGCTCTCTCTCTCTCTCTCTCTCTCTCTCTCTATATATATATATATATTACATTTTCTGTTTTCATTTTAATTTAAAGATTTAGTCATTTTGTTTTAAATTAAAATAAGAAATGTTGCCTTGGCAACTAGCTAAAACAAAAATGCTATTTATAATAATTTTATATTACACTTTTATTACAATTCTTAGCTAACTATAATAACTCTGACTTAGATTAGCTGTTTTTTAATGCTATCATTTAATAAAATGTTTTTATTCCACAAATTACACTACATTTATTTTACATTTGTGTTAACAATTGTGTGATTTCTTTCTTTCTTTCCTTTTTTTCCATCAACAAGTAGCCCTGTCTGTTCCTGGTCTCCACTGACTTCCATAGCATTTTTATTTTCCATACTGTGGAGGTCAGTGAGGACCAACAACTCTCTGATTACCCACATTCTTCAAAACATCTTCTTTTATGTTCAACAGAAGAAAGAAACTCAAAACAGGTTTTGAATCATTTAAAGTGGAATAATAGGAATAATTTCCTTTTGAGTGAAATGTCCATATAGTTTGTACACAGATATAAATTGTACAAAATTAACATTTATTTATTTATTTATTTTATGTTTTTTTTTCATCACGTGCTCATCACGCATGTTTCTCAGTGAATCCAGACAAAGAAGCTCATATATAAAGCGAGTTTTCATTGGTCTCATGTTTTAATCACATCATTCTCAGACTATCATCTGTGTTATATAAGAGTTTTCATGACATTAGTCTTATTTTAGAATGCGCTAATAATAAAGAAAAAAGGTTTGTCCAAACATTTGACTGGTATTGTATATTTCATTCATGAAATGAGCGATAGTGTCAGTCGCGTTGAGCTGCAGCGTCTCCTCTCCTCTCTCTGGGAAAAGGCTGGATGTGAGGAACAGACAGAGGAAAGAGCAGGATTTCTGACGGAGAGCAGGGCGACGGAGGCGGGGAGTTGTCTGGAAGGAGCAGAGGGACGTTAAGCAAGCAGTCGCTTTGAGTGATGGGCGGCAGGAAGTGTGGGCGTCGGTCTCTCTGTGTTTGCCCCGCCCCTTTACACAAAGACTCCGCCCAGTTGCCACGCCCACTAGAGTTGCTCCGGTGTCGTTTTGTGGCTTGTTTCCTCTTGCTGTCTGTTATTTCTAAACTCTGTATCCACAGGCTGAGGTCTGACGCCTCATTTTTTACTTGTTTATTTTTCTTTTTTCGCATCACCTTTGGTGTCTGTTCCCGCCAAACTTCTTCAAACAAATACTCTTCCTTTTCAGTCCTAATTCCTGTGTCTCTGCCGCGGGTCCTCGCTGTCCTTTGGCCGTGATGCCAGCGCTGAACGCCGACCATTGGTGGCTCTTTATTCATGGATATCTCATCTTTCTGATGGTTTGCATGTAAAATCTTGGGCAGTGGCTTGTCTTGAATGCATTTGAGTCCATTTAAGGGTGAATTTCGGTGAGGTCGATCCATTAACGGGTCAGGACGATCAACAGACTGACCCAATGTGCTTCGGGTCGTGTTTAAGACTGAACGCAGGCGACGGTGGGGCGGTAAACTAGCAGACAGACCCGTCAGACCCAGCGCACGGAAGAGAGGAGCGGGCCGGAGGTCAACCGTGTGACGCTTTCGGCAGTCCTCACTAGTTTTGACGATTTCACTGGCGATGATCCCGAGTCCAGCACAACTCTCTGGAGTTTTGTCCATGATGGAGTCTGGAGGAGCAGCAGAGATCAGTGTCTTCAGCTCTAAAAGGCCACGTTCACACTGCAGATTAATACAGAGATCACTCCTGTTCAATCATTTGCAGTGACAAACAACACAATTCAAGCCAACAAACTCATATATTACTTGTCTAGGCAAGGGTTTTTTATTTAATTAGGGTCCAGAGATCCTCTGTGGGGCCGCAAGGAGGTGATAGGAGGTCCATAAAAATATTTAGAGAAATAGTGTATAAAAGTAATAATAAATAAATGATAAACAAAAATAATATAAACAAATAAAATAAATGAATAAACAGTTTAAAACAAATTTTAAAAAATAAGATAAAAAATATGGAGGTAGAGGATTTTCTAAATGTTTATGTAAAATATGTGAAATCAATTCTGAATAATAAGGTTAATAGACAATAAATAAACTAAAAATAGAATTGAATAGAATAAATAAACATCTGAATAAAATAAATAAAATTAAAATAAACTCTAAATGTTTAATAACTGTAGAAAATAAATTATAAGGCTAAAATAAATAACTTAGAATTAGATTACATTGAATAAATAAATAAACATTAAATTAAAATAAACAAAAAAGAACATGTAAAACAATCAGTTGAGTTAAATGTATTGATTCTGTAAATGTTTAAAGAAAAAGTGTGAAAAAAGTTAAAATATTAATAGGAAAAATATTAATAAACAGATTATTATAAATGAAAAAATTATTGATTAAAAATAAACATTAGATTCAAACAAACACATAAATAAATAATAAATGCATCAAAACAAATATACACAGTACTATCACAGTACATAATAATAAATGTATTTACCAAAAAAAAACAAATGTTTAGACATATTTATAATAATATTTTTCATAGTATAAAGTGTTGTATGGGGTTCTCTCACATTAGCATAATCATGTTTGGCAAAGAAAAGATTGAAAACTCCCGGGTTAATCTGTTAGCAACATCCATAAACTATAATATAAAAATAGATTTATTATTTCAAGAGATACATTTCTACTTCTGATTAACAAAGAAGGAAAGTACTTCATAGATTGACTTTAGTTGCAATTATAAAAAATCACTGTGGTATTTCAATGTTTTTTGCACACAGATCATGAAGGTAATCCTTTAAAGAAACTATAATGAAGAAACAATGCCATATGAATTTGGTAATCACACAGTTCCATGGTTTATATTAAAGTAAACATGATCTTAGCATGTACTTGAACTAAAGTCAAATTATTTTGGAAGCAACATCATAAATGATGTGAAGATTAAAGCAGATTGAAACACTAAACAGAGAGACACAGCAAGAAATGAGAATGAGATGAAGAGAGAAACTGTTAGGAAGTCCAGTTTAGGAAGAGAGAGTGAATGAGAAACAACATCTACCTGATGAAGAGGTCAGATTTACTCACAGATCAACATGAAGAGCCTCTTACAGTCTGATGCTTCATCTCTCATCAAACACACACTCAGTATCTGTTGCCATGGAGTCCTGAAAGACCAATCAGCATCTCTCTCTCTCTCTCTCTCTCTCTCTCTGTCTCTATATATATATATCTCTCTGTCAGTCTCCCTCTCAGTCTCTCTCTCTTTCTCTCTCTCTCTATATATCTATATATATATGCATATATGTGCAGAGCGAGAGAATGAATAATGAAGTTATATATAAATTAATATAATATTAAATTATAATTTTTTATTATAACAATTATAATAATATAACATTTACCCAGTTTAGGAAGAGAGAGTGAATGAGAAACAACATCTACCTGATGAAGAGGTCAGATTTACTCACAGATCAACATGAAGAGCTTCTTACAGTCTGATGCTTCATCTCTCATCAAACACACACTCAGTATCTGTTGCCATGGAGTCCTGAAAGACCAATCAGCATCTCTCTCTCTCTCTCTCTCTCTCTCTCTGTCTCTATATATATATATATATATATATATATATCTGTCAGTCTTTCATGTCGTGCCCTTCAGAATCATGCGCGGCTCGCCTCTTTTTTACATCTGTCTGTCCATCAATTATGAAACAGACGGCAGGACAGAAGCTCTGACAAACACACTCAAAATCCTTCATGATTCCTGCCTGACATCCACATGATCTCAGTCAGCAAATAGAGACAAACTGAGGAAATAAAAACCCAGTGACTGACCACTAG